CACATAAAATCCTTTTTGATAAACACTTACAATTAGTTTGATAAAACACTAACTCAATTAGTCTCTCTCTCTCTCTCTCTCTCTCTCTCTCTCTCTCTCTCTCTCATTTTTTTAATGTTATAAATATTAATATAAGTTAAATTTTATATCAACTTGTGCTCAACTCAAGTTCATTCACGACGCCAAGTAAGAAGTGATTAAACTTTTAAATATCCTCAACGCACATTTATAAGCATTACCTAATTAATTAATTAGAATTAATGTTGACTTGAGTCCGGTATTTTAATGCGGTTCACCAACATAAGCTCGAATTAAAATGAAGTATAGTTGCCCCTTATCGCCCGCATGTTCGCATAATTTAATTAAATGCGGCAGAGACAGATACTAATAGCATGCGCACGGATTATCCACAAACTTTCTTTGGAATGCGTCGCTTTGTAATGGAGAATAAATTCGAATGCGCCGAGTAGGCGATTTGTATTCGACGCAAATGAAACGTTTCCGGTATCGTTACGCATCGTTGCTGGTCGAAAAATGGCGTGCAATATCACAGTAGTGTGCACACGAGACTAAATGAAATTGCCGTGGCAAAGAATGCTGTCGAAGATACCGTCACACCAGCATGAAATGCTCACGAGTATTGCTTCCTTCCGCAAAGTATTTCAACGACATGTGCTCCGGCAGGATGTAATCGCGCGCAATATCCAAGCCAGACACGCAAAAGTTTGAACTACGTACGTGTTCTCTCATCTGCACAATATATTATAGATAAAAAAGATGAAATCGGGAGAAAGAGAGAAAAGTGCTACTTATTATATTCTGAAATAAAATCTTTCTGGACATGCAGTCCAAGTGTTGACGACTATCTTACACAAAAACATGTTATAACTATAATAATATTTGACATTACACTAAATATAACAGCGAGTTAAAATGAGATAAAAGGCGAAGATAAAAAGAAGTAAAAATCGAAATAATGTAATTCGCAAAACAATTTACGAAATAAACAAATCTACTGGTACGTGAAGATAAATTTTAGCACGAATGTATTGGTATGAATGCAGTTTTTAAAATTCTTTTGTAGAGATATGTATGCAGTTTGAACGACCAGAATAAATCAACTTTTTTAATTGAGGAAAAGAGAAAGGAAGACAGAGAGTGTGGTGTATCAGTGGGATGTTGGAGATTCAGGTATATGTCGTGACATACGAGTGTATTTATTGTCTAAACGCAGCAATGTTATTACTCCGAAAAGTGGGCCAATGTTACTTGGATTAAAATCGAACTGATTAAAGTCGAGCTCTCAGAAATTGAGTTTCGCTGACGGAAGCTTTGCACTTTAATAAAGACTCTGCAAGTACATTATTTTCTTCATCATAACGTTGATGTATTATATCGTCGTAAGATGCGTATACTTTGCAAACTACGGAAACAAGAGCTTAATTACTGCCTTACAGTTTTATAGACTAATCCCTATACTACCTCTTGACCCCAGCACTTTGGTTGCAACAGTGGCGTTGTAAGCCACAAAGGCTAATAAAGTAAATTCATTCTACGAGAATAAATTGAGACGGTGGCTAAGAATGCACGAGCACTCAAAGGCTTAGCTTTGAGAAAAGTATTTAGAAAAAAATTCAAAGTTCCTAATTTATCTTTTTCGCAAAGAAGGGTAAATTATACGCTCCATTAGCAGATAATTACCTCTAAGATCTATTTAAACAAGAAGTTCCAGAAAAATAATGATAGATAATTTGAAAATCTTAAACCTTACATAATTATTATTGTACATCAACTTTTGGCCATTGTTTTCAGGAGAAGAATGGAAGTTGAGAAAATGCATTGCGCTCATCCTCTCTCTCTCTCCCCGCACGCACGCGTGCGCGCGCGGCTTAATTACGTTAGCAATTTGCTAAAAAAAAAGAAGGAAATAATTAAATTATTCGGTTTGAAGAATATAGCAATTTATGCCATAATGCATCATCATGTTAAGATAAATGTTGCTGCAAAAGTGATGGCCCGTAATATTATTTTCGCACATCTTATAAATATTAATTGTCATATATCTATGCATTAGAGATTTCGTATTAAGAATTAATTAAATTTTTCAAATATTGTGACAATATTAATGTAACTTTCAAATTAAATTATTAGATTTGTGAAGTTTATAATATAAAAACCTCTCACACACACACACACACACACACACACACACACACACACGCACGCACGCACGCACGCACGCACGCACGCACGCATATACACACAAAACACAAGTAACATTAAATTTATAATATTTTTCACAATTTTCTATAATGCTGTTTTGTGATAAAACGACAATTTAAATATTTATTAATAATTCCCAAATATGTGTTCTGCATATCCAATATATTTCAAATACTTAAATATATACTGTATTTTCACGAATACAATTATATTCTTGGCATACCGAGAAATTAATCTACGATAAATAATTCCTTAACATTATTGCATTTCTGAATAAACAATGGATTAAATATACGTCAAAGAAAATTATATCACCGTATTAAATTAAAGAGATTATTCAGCATAATAATTAGTTAATAAAGGAATATACGCAGCCATAAATATCAAAGAGTAATTAGACTTATACTCATCCATATGCATGATTTCACCGTCGTCATATTGTGCAACTTTGTATTATCCATCGTTCCCGTTAGACCGCAGAAAAGTTGAAATGTTTTACATCGAAATGGACTACCAGTATATAACTTCGACGCGTCGCATATCTGATTGAAAATTCCAAAGTTGCGAAATTAGCGCTACGAGTTTGTTCATTAAACATCACAATTTGCGGCACAGATGGCAAAGTTACCAATGTCCATCGAAAGTGTCCGCTTCCCACATTCATTGGTCCTTATTTTCATCGTACATTCGGAACTAACCAAAAACATATAGTATTATGATGAAAAGTAATCTCATTATGTTTCGCGTACGATTCAATTTCAATCTCTATTTAAAAGCGTGATTAATTATTAGTATACGTAATTGATTCAATCTAATTTGCATTTCGACAATTTCAATTCGACAAATTATTGTTTCAAGACAAAAATAAAATTTATATTTATATTTCTCTTAAATGACATTAATAATATCCGGACTATTATATAATTGATGTAATTCTGCGTTGTGTAATTTTCTCCATTCGCCCGTTTCCTCATCGCGTTTTGCCCCGATGATTTTTCGAAGTACTTTATTTTCGAAAGCCCTAAATCTTTTCTCGTCTTGTACTGTAAGTGACCACGCTTCGCTGCCATAAAGGACTACCGGTAAAATAATCGTTCTGTAAATTCTAATTTTTAAGCGCCTAGACAATATCCGCGAACCGAGTAGTTTCTTAACCGAATAGAAGCACGCAAATGGGGTACGAGGGTCACAAATGGAGGGATCTGGCTCAGGGACGGGAACAGTGGCGGGATTTGGTATTTGCGACAATGAGCTTTCGAGTTCCTGACGCCTAATAATAATAATAATTTCTCTTAAATTCTTACATAGATCTTATTTCAATAATTAAATATAATAATTTCTTCATCTTATGAATTGCCTATAACAAGTTTTGCATCGTAACTAGATAATATTATATATTTATATCACTATGTTAATTATATATTTATGTAATTATATACATGTAACTAATCAGGTAAGACATTATATTAGCTAGTCATTAGATTCAGCTACAGCTTCTGCGTGCTTAATATACGAGTACACTACCGTCAGAAAATTTAGGACCAATGTGATATAATCTTAAAACACATAATTTATGGTAAAATTATAAAACAAATAGTGCAATTCTGATCGTTGTTTTTTTACTTAATTATATCTTCAAGGTCATACTGTGCTGCAGTAAAAAATAAAATTGGACTTGCGAATATTTTAAATAAAAAAAACATAAAAGTCTTTAAAACGCTTAATCTTAAACTTTCTGACGGTAGTGTATAATCACTACTTTTTTTATATTGTTTAACAAAATTTAATAAAACTATTATTATTTATCGAATTTGTACTGAATCAATCAGGACTGTAGATTTTTGTAATATCGAATAATCAAATGTTGCAATAATTTTTAGACCGTCAACAATTTCTACAATCGATTGCTTCTCTTTAAAAGCACAAAGCAGAAAAGTTTATTCTGCACTTCTACCTAATTTTCCCGAGAGAAATCGTCCCTTTCTTTCATCGCTATAAATCTCCTACTACCTTCTCCGCGAAATGGTGAAAAATTACCCTCATTCTTATTCACAAGAGCCACTTTGCAGACTAATGATGCCGTAACCGGTTAGATTCAAAAATGTGAAATAAACTTGTGTACCGGCAATAAAATGTAAATTCGTACTATTTGCAATCGGCATTCGAAACGTATTATATATTTTGTTTCTGTGTACGAAGATAACCCCAACTTCTAAATCGAAGTCTCACAATATTAATGTAATAATAAATCATTTATTCTAAGTTAAATAATACACACACAAATATTCTTTATTAATTAAATAATTTGAATGTTGCATGCTTCACAAGAAATGGATTAATGTAAAAAAAAAACATAATGATAAACTATTTTTTAATAAAATCAACATAAAAAAAATTTTTTTTAATATATTCTACATAAAAATATATATGTACACACACACACACACACACACACACACAAGTTTAAAAAAGATTTTACGAAATCTGGCTTTAAAGATTCACAGTTGAGGTGAGAGTCGGATCAGATTTTAAAAGTTATTTTAACCGAGATTGCAACCAAATCCCTACAATCCCCCCTATTGATTCAAGATACCTAAAATTGAGAATATAAAACGATTATTATGTGTAAATAAAGTTAAGTAAGAAAAAATCTTAAATTGCGTTAAAATCTACGCTTCTACAACTCAAATTTCAGTTTTTAAACAGTAGTATCCGCTACATGATATTAACTGTCATTTTATAAATTTATTTTAATGTGTTAATTTTTCTTATTTCAGATTCTATTGGGACCTCTGCATGCTCCTCCTACTGGTAGCTAATCTGATAATTCTGCCAGTCGCCATTAGTTTTTTCAATGACGACCTAAGCACTAGATGGATAGCCTTCAACTGCCTTTCCGACACGATATTCCTTATAGACATCGTCGTCAACTTCAGGACGGGTGAGTGTCATTTGATCAATTTGCTTGTTATTAATTCCCCATTATAATAAATTCTCGTCACTTTAATTGGAATTCGTGATAAAAGATTTTAAATTCGCAAATGTGTACTGCTGAGAAATTCCAATTTTAATCTTTCATATCAACAGGATTTGTGCAAGAACATCTGCATTGTCGCAGTAACAGTTAACAATATTAGTAACATCTTTTGAAACTTTCATATAATACTATTAGGTGTTGCTTATACCATAGTATCTTCGCAACATACAAAATTCCACTTGACATTGCATTTCGCATCATTTCCTCACAATAATCGACATAAATTATGATGTGTCGAGGATCGAAGCATTAACACACATTAGAATATTTTACAAAAACTCATCTTTTATACAGCTTTTATACGTGATAAAAAATTTCTCAAGACTTAATATAAAAAAATATTTAAAAGTTAAATCTCAAGTAAAAAATACTTAAAGAAATACATCAATCATATTCTCATCAAATTTTTCTAAAATTATTTTTCGATATCTTGACTTGTACAACTGTACAAATTTAGAAATGCAAATTTTGAAAATTGCAAAATTGCCGATAATAAGTAATTTTTTTCTTCTTTAAGAACAAAACCAGCGAAATTTTCTTTAAGAATTTTTCCAATTTTTTATATTTAAAATTTCAAGAACGATCTACCACTTTGAAATTTTGTCTTTCACGCGTCTTTGACTCATCCTTGTTACGTTCCCCAAGTATAAGATACCGGTAAAAACAGACGCAGTGCAAGATGGATCATTTATTTGCGCTCTTGCCGGTCTCGACAATACACAATGACAGTATTGTTAGGGGAAGAGAATACTCCTAACTCCTTGACATTTCGTTATTACCAAGGGATTAATTTGAAACATGTTTGAATCGGTTTCGTAAACGCGGAATTAGGTCACGAACTGCGACCGATGGAAATCATTATATTATATCGCTTTGTATCGATTCGCGATAATTAAAAATTTCTAAGTCACATTATTCCGGCATCCCGTTCCAATATTTTTTTTAGCACGGAATAGTAATATTCTTAATAATTACTTCTTTTTCTTTTACTTATACCTATAACAATTCAATGATTGTTTTTTTCAATTGTTAAATTACGTATTATATATACATAATGGGTGCATCAGATGCGCGAGAACGGCAACGTGACAAACTGTCGAATCGATGGCAAGTCGCCAGAGCGTGAGGTAACAACATTAGCGTTTTTCCGGCAGCTTGAGCTTCGCAGGCTTTGGAAAATCATTGATGTGGAAAACACCGAAGTGAAATTCTTTCGTTGCAGGTATAATGCAGCAGGATAATGCCGAACAGGTGATACTGGATCCGAAGTTAATCGCGAAACACTACCTCAGGACTTGGTTCTTTCTCGACCTCATCTCCTCCATACCATTAGACTACATTTTCCTCATATTTAATCAAGTAAGTATGTCTACATCGTCCTACGCAACCTTACATATTCCTTGTTAAGTCGTAAGTTATTAGCTCGCTACACACAACTTTGTGACAGAGCTGGGCTAAACATGTATTTGAAATATTTTTATTTCAAACACAGTATTTATAAGACAATTGTATTTTGTATTGTACATTTCAACGGAGCATATGCAAATATTTTGTATTTTGTATGTCATGGAAGCATATAAAAGTATTTTGTATTTCAATATTAATAATGAAAGATTGAAAGTATCTTGTATTTTGTATTTCCAATAATAAGATTGACAATTAATTATTATTATTATTATTTAAATTATAAAGTACAAAAAACTTACAATTTTTCGATTTTAAATACAAAATACGTAATACTTTCATGTGCTCCGCTGAAATACAAAATACAATGCCCTGCTTTATGAAAAATCATCAAAATAACTTTCTAGTTTCTCTTACCAAATTAATAAATAATACATTTTCATGTACGTACAACATTTTTCACGATACATATATAAAAAAAAAATTGATGTAAAAAAAGACTTTTTTAATTCTTTATATAATTTCTCTAGAATAATATACTAAATATCAAATTAAAAAGAAATGAAATAGTAAAATTTTAAAAACCTAAAAATAATAACACTAATATAAAATAGATATAAAATAGAAATGTCTTATAATGTATAAATATAAAATAATTAATGAATCATGAAATGATCTTCTGAATAATTTTCTGAACGATTTTCTAAATAACTCTGGATATTTGCACACTTGTTTACTGACACTCGGAGAGTCAAATATTACAGTAACAAAGAAATTCGCAAGTTTCAGGACTTCAGCGAGTCCTTCCAGATCCTGCATGCTGGACGTGCTCTCAGGATCCTCAGGCTTGCAAAACTGTTATCACTCGTTAGATTACTACGTTTGTCAAGACTGGTGCGGTATGTCTCGCAATGGGAAGAGGTCTATGTGAGTGTTCTGCTTACTATACAGCACTGTTCTTATTTTGTAAACATACGATACGTGTAGTTCGTGTATAATTTACGTATATAAAAAAAAAAAGAGAAAAGGAGAAGCGTTTGGTGACCTTTAACGGATTCAGGAAGCTGACAAACGATTTTTCCTCCTACGAAACTACTGCTTTTCCTGTAGACAATGAAGCTTAATGAGTTAATTAATGTCGATTGTCAGTTTTTTTGAATCTATCAATTGCAGAAATCATCTTCCGCATTTTATGTGGGATATTAAATAATTATGTCTATGCCTGTGATATATGGTCGCTGTAGAGAATCGGAGGAGATAAAGGCAACAAGTCAGCCCACTTTCGTACCCTTACCGTGGATATTTCGTATTTAACTGCAGATGGCTCATTGAGTCTTACTAGCGAAGTTCTCACGTCAGTGGTGGATTCTGTCTGACAGGCAATCTTTTTTACGAAGTCTTCTCGAATTTGCACTCATTAAATGAGAATTTCATTCTCACTGTGTGCAAAGAGTCTCCCTTTGTCATAAGATTTTCATCAATAAAATTCAGTCGATCGAATATATATATATATATATATATATATATATATATATATATATATATATA